TGCCTCCCTCTATCTAGCTATCTCTTTCATTGCTCTCCTCCTCTGCTCCTCCCCCAACTCGGTCTTCTTGATCCCTAATGTCCTCAAACACACCCATTGCTGCAGCACACTCCCTGTCAGGTGAACTCGATAATTTACCTCCTAATCTATTATTGATGAATGAATGCATTGTTTATACTCATTACCAATGTTTTTCAAGTGTAATAATGTAATACTTTACTTGATCTAGAGCACTGGTTCTCAAACATTTTGATCTCCATTTACAGCTTGAAAATTCATTGAGATGCCAAAAAGGTTTTGTTCAAACATTTATGGACACTTGCTATATTAAAAATTAAATTCCAAATGAAAATATTTACTTAATTTAAATATAATTAACATATTTCTATGAAAACACTTTCCAAAACAAAGAAAAGAATTAGTAAGGAAGGTAGTCTTGTTTCACATCTTAATTTCTTTAAGTGTCTAAGGTAGAAAGACAACTGAATTCTTCAATCCACTTTAAATTTTTTATTAATTACATTTGTTCTTCAGCAAGTTCACACCCATACATAATGCAGACTGACCAACCTCAGCTCCCACATTCACCCACTTCTCTACTATTCCTGTCTTCTTGCCCCCACTTCCTTACAAATCTCTCACACTCAAGTCTGTTTGTTGTGTTTTGATCCATTGATTTTTAACAGGGCCATCTATGTGACCATGGGTTTGGCTCTTGTACCTACTTCTGCATATAATATGTTGCACTATCACAGCTCAGGCAACCTCTGGAAAGCTGGAGGAAGCATGAGAGCAAACATCACAAGCAACATGTTCATGATATTATAAAAACAGTTTTGACTACATAGATCTCCATAAGGTCTCTGGAACCTGAGCATTCCTAAGGATATATACATATACATGCATGTATACATACATACATACGAGCCACCTATGCATTGGTCAATGTATCCAAAGTTCTAATCAGTTTTCTAGCATCTTTAATGTTCTTTTAATTTTCTTGAGCTTGAAGATAACTAAAACTACAATTTTCAGAAAACCTCCCCTTTTCATGTAAACACAAGTCTTACACATAGATTAGTAGCTCTAGGTATCCATAAATGGATGACAAAATCTGCTGATACTCAAGTGCTTCATATCCTTGCATACTTTTAAAATCATCTCTATATTGTTTATAATATCTAATATAGCACAAATGTTATACATATTGTTAATATACTGGTTATTTAGGGAATGGCAACAAGAAAATAATCTGTAAATGTTCAAGAGATGCAGTTTTCTTTTTCCAATATTTATGTTTCTGCAATGTGGAATTCACAGGTGCGGCAGGCAAACCATTTCCCCCTATATTCTATTTGGTTAGCTTCATGTCATTTCTTAATAGTGATGTTTTTGATGCCCTGCCTAGGTCTTCTCTCAGCTTGGTTCACTCAGGCGCTGTGACTGTTGGCTGATACCTCATAGTGGACCCCTTCTCTGGGCAATTACTCAGTAAACTGAAGCTACCAACCTGAGGATTTGGCTAATGAATGATGTGCTAATGCTTAGTACAGTACAAAAGGCCATCCCAGTGACACATGGTAGAACTTCTCTGATATCAATTGAAATAAAGGGCTGAGATCAGATAAAGTTTGTCTCTCTTTGTCTTCCATGACCTTTTCCTTGCTCTGCCCTGCTTTTCCTGATCTTCTTAAGACAAGAGAAATCTTTATCTTAAGTAATGTTTCAGGCAAACCCATCCTAAGATACTGCAAATTCTCAGGACCCATATCAGACCTACTAAATCAAAAATTGTAGGAATGGGCTCAGCAATTAATTCAAACAAACTGTTAGACAATAATTTGTTTTTAACAAGCCCCTCAGTGCTCCTGGTGTCTACTAAAATAGTATCCACTACTTTTACAGTATTCAGAGCATGAGTTCTGAAGTCAAACCGTAATCACAACCTTGCCTTTGTCCTTGAGGAAGCTTCTTAACCACTGTGTACTGTCTCCTTATGTGTACAATGATGGGAATAAAAGTGTCTGGGTCATAAGATAAAATGAAGTCATGTAGGCAAATCACTCAGAGCAGGACCAGCAGTTTGAAGTTAATTCCTGTCCTCCTTACGTACATTACTGGGTTTTCATCCACTTGGCTGACATCATGTTTAAATCCATCATTACTATCTTTTGTTACAGAGGTTTTGTGAAGATTATAAGATAATAGAGAACTAATACAGGAAATTGGCACATAATAGAAAACCAATAAATGGACACTGCAAGTATTTCTTCATGAGAATTAAAATCTTTTTTTTGAGAATTAAAATCTTAACACACAGACATTAATACTGACACAAATGTTTGTTTAAATGGAATTTGTTAAATTCACTGATAGAAATATTGATTGGGGCTAAACAAATAAAAGTACCAACACCACAGAAACTCTTCCTTCTGGCTTGAAATCTACCCATCAATATAGCTACAGCCCTTTGGCATGGTTATTCAGCTATCTACAGGCACAGTTAGCTCCTAACAGCGAAAAGTACAATTATTTTAGCCATTTGAATGGCATAGTTTTAGTGTTAACAGAGTGTATTTTGCCTAGGTATGTTTTTTCTAATGCCTCTGATCATGCCTCTGGGCTCTCCCACTCTGCACATAGACTGTAGGCATCTTTTGATAGTTGATGGTTGAAATGTTTTATACAGTTGTTTAAAGATCATTAATCATCATAATTTTCATGACTGATAGATCTGAAAGTATAGTTATAGCTAAATTTGGTAATTTTCACGAACTAAGATTATGCTCTTCCTTGAGTTGTTCTATCATGAGAATAATCAATCCTCATCATGAAATTTGTTTAAATACTGAAACTCAAAAATTGCTAAATATGAACAGCCCACTGCATTTTAAGAGAAACAATATATTCTCCATCTAATTACAATCCATCCTAAGTATATATTTAAATTGTCATAATATTTTCTACTCCGTCACAAATGTAAGCATGTTAAGATAAAATATTAATTCTGAGATATCTAAAAATGAAAAATAGCAAATTGTACATCATCATACCCATAATAATACCACTGAATAAGTAGAAATTGTGCGTGAATCTTGATGAAGAAAGAAAAAATTATACAAAAGAAGAATACAATACAGTCCAGTACCTATCAAGGGACAAAGTGTGACAGCGAACGCAATGTTCTCATAGCCGTTGAGATGACCTAGACACTGCGACTTCCTGACTAGAGTCATGTTCAGTTGCTTCTCAACAACTCTGTGAGATACTGATGGATAACTGTGGCTGAGGAAATGGTGTCTTCCCACGGGGGGGGGGGGGCTCTTCCCAACCTTTGAAAGCATGACAGCATAGAAAGGAATTGTTCCATGCTCACCCTTTTATTTTCCCATTCATTCATTGCCCCTTATTGTATGGCCAGGGGATATTTGTCAGGTTAACTAATAGCACTTTGTATACTGTATCCAAAAAAGAACAAATAGTTGAGGTACGAAAACAGGTTTACACAAGGTCACATTGCTAGAACATAACTAAAAAAATTAGAAAATACAACTTCTAAAAACAAGTGCTTCTTTCTACTTATGATCCACATTAGGCAATTTAATTTACTATGAGTTACCAAACAATTAAAAGCAAATCACCAGCATTGATTAGCAAGCAACAGACTGAGCAGAAGACTCCACTCCAACTCTGACAGCATACACTCCTAAAACCTTATGGAAGTCTCTCTTTGCAGACATTTACAACTTTCCTAAGTAAACTGGTTATCAGAAAAAAAAAATAGCACTATTCTACCAAAAGTAAAAGGCTTTTAAAATTCAATCAATTCAAAGTAACCCATCTTATTGCCCACCTTTTATCAACATACAGAAGTAAGTTGAATCTGGTAGGACCCAAAGTCAAAAGTCTAGAGTATAGATATTTATCATGTAACTCTATATGAATGGATTTATAGTCTACAGAAGCAGTCTGGCTCCAAAAACAGTGAATACAAGTTCATGTTTTAAAATTCAAATGCTTCCTGAAGTAACAGTATATAATTATGGTGTAGCCATCATATGGAATGCCATGCAACCACCAAAGAGAATGATGGACCCTGAATTTACTGACATGGAAATGCCCTGATATTCTTCCTTGGTACCAACCCATGTATAGGAAAAACCTTTAAAAAAATAGGTAATATTTTCCAAAAATTTAATAGGGGTTATCTACCTAAAAGTATATGAGAGTTCTTTCACTTTTATATATTTCCCTAATGTTCATTTTTCAGAATGGATATCTACAACATTTCTTAAAAATGAGAAACATATTGACAGGTGGTAATGGCTCACACCTTTAATCCCATCACTCAGGAGGCAGAGGCAAGTGGATTTCTAGGAGTTCAAGACCAGCCTGGTGTACAGAGGGAGTTTTAGAACAGCCATGGTTGTTATACAGAGAAACCCTGTCAAAAAAGAAAAAAGAAAAGGAAAGAAACATACTAAAGCTATTTACATTTTGTTTAAAAAGGAAACTGAAAACATCCAGAAAGAACTCAGCACTTAAATAACATTTAATTTTGTAAATTTGTCATCAATAAAATATCCTAAAGAATGAGACCCAGGTTCTACAAAGTTCCAAATGGCAAAAAAAAAAAAAAAAAAAAAAAAAAAAAAAAAGAGTCAAAGGCAGTCTGGACGGACTCAGAGACAGGTCTGTACAGGCTGAGATATCATCAGATAAAATTCAAGAGAAAAGACCTGCATTTTCAGGTCAAGGAAAAGTGTGACGGGTCACGAGAACTGAAAGGATTCATGGTGGACACCACAATTCCTGTTTTCATTGCTATAAAGAAAATAAACCCTCAGAAATGAAGTTCATACATCTACCACCAATAGTCCCAGGATCCAAGGGCTATTCATTTTTTTTAAATATATAAACATACATAAAACAGACTGAAAGTGTCTAATTGATACTTTGTGAAGACTGAAAAGGAGAGCATGGCACACTAAACTACTCACCTCTGTTGGAAGACATGTGTGTACACTGGCAGGTGTTCCCAGATGTGATGTTGTTGTCCCATTTTTTATTTGAAACTGTGTTTTGCACATGTAGCCATCAGAACAGTCCTGTGTTCCAACAACAAAGAATACATTTAAAATGCCAATTAATTTATGAATTCATCACTCGGAGAGCTACCATTTTACTTAAGTTCTAAGCCATGCAAACAGTAAGTAGCCACATTAAATAAGGTGACATGGATAAAAAGCCTAACCCAGTGTACACTGTTTCTCTTGATAAATGCGCATCTCACTCCCCTAACTTCCTGCTCATTAATGCCCCTCTTCAACTCTTTCCTTCTGCGAGCTCACAACACCAAGGTCAGACAGCAAAACTTCAGGATGGTGAACTCTAAGAAAATCGCTTAACCTCAACACAAAGTTTTATAAGCAAGGAAGAATGTCCACTGGGAGTCTTTAGGGTCGGGCCACAAGGCTGGAAGTGAGCGGGGGTGGGGGGGGCTCTGTTGTCTCTTCAAGAGAAGAGATATCACAGAGAGATAACTGTATAGTACCCTCCTGAGCTCTCTGGGGAACCTGTACTTCCCACTTCCTTAATGGTGGCTCCCATATTCCGTGCATTATAACCTGATTTTATCTTACACTGCACTATTCCCGTTAGCTCAGCGGTTCTAGTTCTGTCTTCATGAGTCAAAGTCCTTTTGTACAGAACTGCTCTTCAGAGAGCTCAAAACAACCACATCATTTTGACATATGGATTACAAGAAAGACTTCTCAACCCCCTGATGGTTTGTTTCTTCTTTTGAAAGCATTTTATTTCTGTGTGTAAAAGACTGGGGATACGTGTTTCTGTGGTGTGTGTGTGTGTGTGTGTGTGTGTGTGTGTGTGTGTCCATGGAGGCCAGAAGAGCAAGCTATGCTCCTTGGAGCTGGAGTTACTCGTGTTTGTGAGCTGCCTGATGCAGGTTGGGATCCAATCCCCAGTCCCCAAGATTGAGCAGCAAGTACTCTTAACCACTGAGCCATCTCTCCAGACCCACTAATTGTCTTCTTTCCTACTTTCTTGTGCTTGCTCTTAAATACAGCCCATGTACAGTGTTCACCTAACTATAATCAGTTCCATTTTAAGGCAAAACTTGCTTGACTTCCATAAACTTATATGGAAGAATATAATATCTCTCCATGCACATATATGTTTGCATTCCAAGGAATATTAACCGTTCTATAGTGTCAGCAGCATTCACATGTTAACAGAATTTAAGTAATAATAATTAAGGAAGGAACGGTTGCTTCTTCTTTTTTATAAGAAGAGGGACATTACCAGGTGGTAGTGGTGGTGCAGGCCTTTAATCCAGCACTCAGGAGGCAGAAGCAGGAGGATCTCTGTGAGTTTGAAGCCAGCCTGGTCTACAGAGCCAGTTCCTGGACAGCCAGAGCTACACAGACAAACCTTGTCTCAAAAAAGAAAAGAAGAAGAGGGACATTTGGAGACAGAAACAGACATACGTAGTTCTGAGAAAGCCACATTAAAATGGAGAGTTGATCAGTGCAACTACAAGCCAAGGAATGTCAAGGTCTGCTGCTAACTTAGGAAGCCATAGAGGTGACAGGTTCCTCTTTATATCGCCAGTAGAGGCAGCATGACCCAGCACCTTGATTTCAGCTCTCTAACCTCCAGAACAGAGAGAGAGTACACGGTTCTCCTGTTTCGTCTGTTCATCTGCTGTGGAGTACTTTATTATGGTACCTCTATCGGAAAAATGCAATCACCACAATTTTAAAGAGACTTAAGAAGCAGGGATATAGTGCAGTTTTAAGCCATTTGTCTAGCACACCCAGGCCTATGTGTGATCCCTAGAGCCCCAAAATAAGTTTAAAGTTTTAAACACATTACAGAAAGATAGATTTAGTGGCACTTTAAACATATCTTACAGTATGCTGGGCTGAGAGCCTGCCAGTCCTCACTTGGAAGCCTGCTGCTTACAATTCAACTCTGAATGGCTGGACCCAATTTATTCTGGTTAGCTAATGTCATGTCATAGGTTATTAAGTATGCTGAATATCGTACCTGACTGGAAAATCAACTACCAAATATTTATAATTATCACTTTTAGTTATTTAATTAATATTAAACATTAGAATAACTGTGGGAATTGTTTTAAATTCCATCTATATGTCATCCAACCTATACCATCAAAATCACTCTATTTGGACAACATAAGTTAAGGTAAGCAACCAAATTTAATATTTGCTCAAGTAGCAGATACATGGAATGACTAGGCAGGTCATCTTTATTACTATGCTTTTGGAATAGTAGCCAATTTTCTTCTAACTCATTGGGTAAAGGAACTCTTCTTTGGGGGTGGGGGTACCAAATCCAAACAGTAGCCATTATGTGATTAAGTAGACCCTGAGAGTGATGCCAACAATGGTTGAAGGGCACCCTGAAAAGACAGGCCAATGTAAAAGCCTGACACTGTCTAGAGCAGGACACAAAGCCTGACTCAATCTCCTGTTTGCAGTGACATCTTCTGTTCCAGTCACCACTCTTCCCCGCCCACTCCACATATTTACTATGCTTTAAACTTAACTTGAAGTATTATATCAACTATTATCAAACATCTGCTGGTTTTATTTCTCCCAGGAAATTATAATGAACTCAGGACCAGTTTCTCGGGGAAGCCAGTGTTCTAACTGCAGACTCCAGATGACAGTTCCACAGAAAATCCCCATCCACGTAGCCTGAGAAAATCCTGGATTATGTGAGAGCATGAGAGAACAAGGAAACTAACACACCTCACCCAGTTGAGCCATCTCTTTAGAGACAAGAAGATGAAGGGATGAAGCGCTTTCAAGAAACCTGTTTTTCAATTAATTAAGGGCAGAGCTAGAATTGGAAATCCAGTCACTGGACTTGAGCCATTTTTTTTTTTCCGAGTTCACAAAGCGCAATCAACCAGAGAACAAGACTTACCAGGCATAGACTAATGTATACACTCATGACTGACAAGCTCAAACCACCCATGAATGTTCTGGGGAAAAGCAGCATTAATTGTCACCTGAGCACAGGACATGAGAATCTGCAGCATGGCATCAGGCCCCTGAAGCTGTATTATCAAGGTTCTCTAGATAAGTGGGTACATATCTAGAGGCACTAGGACAGGTACAGAAAAAGCCTTTACTCAAAAGGGTTGCAAACTGATTGAATTAATGCTCAACCCTAGCTGCATCAGACTCCACCGCAGACTGAGTTCTAAATGCTGCTGAGGCTGGGGTCTTATTTTAGACCAATCAAGCCAGAACCCACATCCCAACAGCTTCTGGTTCAGTACCAGGGTTAGGAACCACTTGAGCACCTGACAGACTCAGAATATCAAGGAAGTAATTGATAGCTCCCTAAAGCAGCAACTCAAAAACTTGATGACACCCATAGCTTAGCCAGACCTTTCCAAACGCTGAAATCCACTACTGCTGCTGGCTGTGATGGTTTCACCAAGCTGAGACAGTAAGTGATCTCTGCTACCTTAGATCCTGCTTCCCAGGAACATGCTCGACCCTGACCTAGTCTTCTGAAGTCACCATTAATTGTCTAACCTCTGGCATAGCTGAGGATGCCCTTGAATTACATGGCTAGTGTGAGATCAGTCTGGGCTACAAGAGACCGCATTTCAAAAGAAAAAATAGGAAGGAAGGAGGGAGGAAGGGAAGGAAGGAGGGAGGGAGGGTGGGAGGGAAGGAGGGAGGGAGGGGAGGGAGGGGGAAAGAAAAAGAGAAAGAGAAAGAGAAAGAGAAAGAGAAAGAAAGGAAGAGTCAAAATCCAGAGGATTGAAGCAATCTATGCCAGAGGTCTGGAGATGGCTCAGTGGTTCAGAACATTTACTGATCTATCAGAAAACTGGAATTTGGATCCCAACACCCATGTCTTACCAATAATCGAAAGGGATCCAATACCTCTCTCTTTCTGGCCTCCAAGTATATGTACATATACTACATGAATACATATGAAATAAATAATAAAATATATGTTTAAAATAAAAAAGTAAATGTATGCTGTGTAGAATAAAAAGTCAAAGAACAAATATAAAAATGAAAAAAATTAGCTCTTGTCATAGAAAAAAAGCGCTAATTTCCTCAATCTATAAACAGCTTTAAATTCTTCAAAATGCAAATAGTTAGAACAAATCAACAAAAAAGACTAACAGCCCAAGAAACATGAGCAAAGGATGGTTGGGAATGTAGACAGAGAGATAGCCCACCAAAAAGGAAATACATGTGGGTAAGATGTTCCGAGTTACCTATAAGGAAAAAGCAACTTTAAAATAAGGTGATAACTTTTTTAAACTATTTGATTGGCAAAGATCAAAAAACTATGATGTGTAACATGCAGACAAAAATGTGGATGAAACAGATAGGGACTCCCCCACACATTGCCCGGGGCAGAAAATTTTAAATCGGTATTATATCCCTGAAAAGCAAGTTGGCAAAACCCACCAAAACTTAAAATATACTTCAGGGTATGGTGGTGAACAACTTTAAATGCCACACAAGAGGAAGAGCCAGGCAGATCTATGAAAGTTCTTGACCAGTCTAGTCTACAAAGCAAGTTCCAGGGCAGTCGGGGCTACATGGGGAGACCATCTCAAAAGTTAAAAATGAAAGAAAACAACATGTACACACACTGCGGTCAGAAATGCCACCTTCAGGGGTGTATATTACAGATACAATCACGTCTGTAGAAAGTGAAATTCATGCAATGGCACTCACTTAAGTTTTGTTTTAATGGCTTAAGATCTAAAAATACTTGAATAATCATCAATGAGAGTTGATAAAATAATAAATAAAACTCTAATAAAATTCTACACAACTACAAAAAACTTGGTAATACTATATAAGCATTGTTCATTATACAAGTTAGAGTCTTAGATTTTCTTCAAGCATTAATTAGATATGTTTATATGCTAAATGTGCCTCAAATATGCAGGTGGAAAGATGCCTAAAACCCTAGTCTTTGGTAATCTCTGAAGGTGTAAGTGACAAAGAGAGTATACAAAGAATATTACATTTTTAAAAAGTGTACCGATCTTTGTGCCTTTGTGTAAGTGATGCTT